GGGAAGAAAAAAGAACCCTTTTAGGTTCGAGTTTGTGTTTCTAGACAATTTTTTTGTTTTGCGATGGAGTCTCTCTGTCACCTTAGTCTGGAGTGCAATGGAGCGATCTCGGCTCATTGCAACCTCTGCCTCCCGGGTTCAAGTGATTCTCCTGCGTCAGCCTCCCGAGTAGCTGGGATTACAGGCGCCCGCCACCACGCCCCGCTAATTTGTGTGTTTTGAGTAGAGAGGAGGTTTCACTATGTTGGTCAGGCTGGTCTTGAACTCCTGACCTCAGGTGATCTGCCCACCTTGGCCTCCAAAAGTGCTGGGATTACAGGGGTGAGCCACCACGCCCGGCCCAGATAATTTTTTAAAGTAAAAGACTGTACTATTTGTATGGCAATTGAATTCTTGTTTTAACTCACTTGAGAAAAGAATCATAGAAGTTTAAATAAATTTGGACTGGACGTGAAAACTCTGAATGATTTTATTGAGTTGAGCCACAATACCTAAAGCCTTGAACACGACTGCTCATCTCAGAAAATACCTTGCAGCTTGAGACAGGGTAGGAGTATAAACTCTGTGTTGCTGCCATTTTACCTACTGTAGGGCTCAGGGCCCCACAGGGTCGTGGGCTGAGCCTTATGCCATGCTGAGGCGCAGGATCCGAGAAACAGAGACAGGACACAGAAGTACCAGGAAAACGCAGCTGGGTTCAGGGGGCCATGCCACCTATAAGCGGAGTCAGGCGAGGCCCTGAATGTCCAGAAGTGTGAGTATTTGTTGTGTATAGGTTAAGGGCAGGGCAGTGAGTGAAGTCATCTTTAAGGATAGTGATAGGGTCATGAGCAATAAAACATGGGGTCCACCCGCGTTAGGTCACCTAGGCCAGGAGGTGGACAGTGCGCAGCAAGGGGCCCGTTCCCAGGAAGGCAAGGGCCGTGCACAGTAAGGGGTCCACCCCCATTAGGTCACCGAGGCTTGAAGGTGGGCCGTGCGCAGTGAAGAGGGTGCAGTGTGCAATACCTCTGTCTATGGGCAAACTACTTCTAAGAAGATTTATAGGAGGATGGTTTAGGTCACACAGCAGTGACAGAGCTGTCAGGGTTACCACCACCTTCTGGCAGCTTCCAGTGGGTTCCATGGGAAGATGCTTTTCAAGCAGCACAGTAGCAAGAGCTGATAAGAGTTCACAGTCACAAGGTGGATTGCCCGTCTGAGGGCGGCTTTCCACAAGAACTGGAGCAGGCTCTCCTCTCAGGAGGAGTGGCTCTCGCCCCAAGCCTGCCACACAGCGGGTATCTTTAGGATACTGAACGCTGCCGCCTGGGCCATGGATTCTTGTCCTGGCATAACTGTTTTCCCTTAAATCATGCTCTGCACTGTGTCTGCTCTAGGTATCCCTCCGATCATAAGCTGCTTATTCCTTAATTCATGCTCTGTACTGTGTCCACTCTAGGCATTCCTCCGATATGAACTAAGATATAATTATAGGTATATATGTAGGGAAATATGCTTTAGACACTCATACTATCAACTATTACATGATTATAAACAGAGGATTGTATAAGGGGATTCTTCAAGCCCTAATTCTATAAACTAATATATGATTATGTAAAGGGTTATATAAAGGAAATAGCTGAGTGGTGACACTGTACAGTGAGATATTCCTCAGGCCCTAACTGTGCCAGGGTCCTGCTTAGCTCTCATTCCTCGGTGCCTATATGGCGGTTACCCACAACGTGCGAACATAATTGTCTTGCTTTTTGCTTTGTTTTGAAGCGGAACCTTGCTCTTGTTGCCCAGGCTGGAGTGCAATGGCGTAATCTCAGCTCACAGCAACCTCCCCCTCCCAGGTTGAAGCGATTCTCCTGCTTCAGCCTCCAGAGTAGGTGGGATTACAGGGGCCCACCCTACACCAGGCTAATTTTTGTTTTTGCAGACAGAGTCAGGCCGGGCACGGTGGCTCACGCCTGTAATCCAAGCACTTTGGAGGCCAAGCCTGACCAACATGGTGAAACCCCATATTTAAAAATAAAAATTAAAAAAAAAAAAAAAAAAAACCAGAGACAGAGTCTGGCTGTGTCACCAGCCTGGAGTGCAATGGCACAATCTCGGCTCACTGCAACCTCCGCCTCCCAGGTTCAAGCAATTCTCCCGCCTCAGCCTCCCAAGTAGCTAGGACTACAGGCGCCTGCCAGCATGCCCAGCTAATTTTTGTATTTTTTAGTAGAGATGGGGTTTCACCATGGTCTCGATCTCTTGACCTCATGATCCGCCCGCCTCGGCCTCCCAAAGTGCTGCGATTACAGGTGTGAGCCACTGCGTCGAGCCCATAATTGTCATAATTCATGTTTTTATTGTGTCAACCTAAATAACAGGCTGTCTAAAAGAAAACGATGGTAACAGGCATTGCCATGGGAATATGCCCACCTTAGCAAACTACAGGGCTGTGGAGGCCCCACAGGGTCGCGGGGTGTCCCTCATGCTGTGTTGAGGTACAGGATCTAAGAGGTAAAGAGACAGGACACTGAAGAACTGGTGCAGAGCATCTGGACTCGGGGGGGCCACACCACCTGTGAGCAGAGATCAGTGGTGGCCCCTAAATGCCCAAGAGCATCTGTATTTATTAGTGCAGTGGGGGCTGACAGACTTGTGCTCTTCTCTTAGAATATTTATGGGAGGTTGATTTGAGCCAGCACAGAGGAAGAGACTGACAGGGTGGACAGCCGCCGTGACTGGTCACACCACAGGGGTTCTTCTCCCTCGGTTACTTCCAGGATCTCAGGCCTGAGGCCGACTTTCCACAGGAACTGGATGCAGGTTCTACAGCTCCTCCGTCAGGAGGGGAGGCTCCTGCTCCAGGCCTGTCACACAGCGTGTGCCCTTTCAGGCAGGGACGCCACCGCCTGGGTCTTTGGTTCCTGTCCCGGTCTGGCTGTTTTCCCATGTGCTGCTTCTGCTCTGTGACTGCTCCAGGCATTCCTCCTACTACAAACTACTGTATGGTTCTGTGGAAGGATTCTATAAATCAGCACTGAATGTGTCGGTACAGCTCCGACCACGATACCCGTATGATTATATAGAGAGATTATATAGAACTGAGTACGCTGGACACGTGTGAGCAGTAAGTTACCCTCCAAGCATGAACTCTGTGAACTAATCTATGACTATATATGAAGGATCATATAAAGGAAATCGCTGAGTAATAACCCTATAAACTCAGATATTCTTCAGGCACTGGTTGTGCCTGGGGTCTGGACACTTCTCCTTCCTCCGTGCCCATGGGGGGTGTTACGCGCAGTGAACTATGTGCTCGATCAGGGAGGTAAAGGAAGACAAAGGTTGTTTTTGGATTTGGGTTTTTTGAGACAGGGTGTCTGTCGCCCAGGCTGGAGTGCAATGGTGAGATCGCAGCTCACGGCAGCCTCGACACCCGGGGCTCAGGCAGTCCTCCTGCTCCAGCCTCCCGTTCCCTGGGACGGTAGCACACTACCATTCCCTGCTAAGTTTTGTATGTTTTGTATATATGGGGTTTTACCATGTTGCCCAGGCTGTCTGTTTTTGAGATAGTCTTGCTCTGTCGCCCAGGCTGGAGTGCAGTGGCACAACCTCGGCTTACTGCCACCTCCACCTCCTGGGTTCAAGCAACTCCCCTGCCTCAGCCTTTCAAGCAGCTGAGATTACAGGCACACATCAGCACCACACCCGGCTAATTTTTGTATTGTTAATAGAGACAGGGTTTCACCATATTGGCCAGGCTGGTTTCGAACTCCTGACCTCATGATCCACCTGCCTTGGCCTCCCAAAGTGGCGGGATTACAGGCATGAGCCACTGAGTCTGGCCCACGAAGGTTTTCAAAGGGAAAAAACGGTGAGGATTACATAATTGTTGAGAAATAATTACCCTCATATACAAAGATCAGTAACAAGGGTCCTAACAGTCTGAGTGTCTGTGTAAAAGTACTTTTGTGTGTAAGCCTGTAATTTTTGTAGAGTCTTTTTCATTACTAAGCATATAAATGTGAGAACCCTCTCTTCATGACTTTCCCTGGTTCTATTTGTGTGAGGGTTTCTTAATGTTAGTGGCTCCATTATGATTGTGTCAATTTTTTTTTTTTTTTTTTTTTTTGAGACGAAGTCTCACTCTGTCGCCCAGGCGGCAGTGCAGTAGCGTGATCTCGGCTCACCGCAACCTCCGCCTCCCAAGCTCAGGCCATTCTCCTGCCTCAGCCTCCTGAGCAGCTGGGATTACAGGTGTGCGCCACCATACTCAGCTGATTTTTGTATTTTTAGTAGACGTGGGGTTTCACCATGTTGGTCAGGCTGGTCTGGAACTCCTGACCTCGTGATCCGCCTGCCTCGGCCTCCCAAAGTTCTGGGATTACAGGCATGAGCCAACGTGCCCAGCGGGAACAAATCTTAAAATGGTTTTATATATTAAAAAAGTGACTTCCTGGCCAGGCGCTGTGGCTCACACCTGTAATCCCAGCACTTTGGGAGGCCGAGGCAGGTGAGTCACTTGAGGTCAGAAGTTCAAGACCAACCTAGTGACCATGGGGAAACCCCGTCTCTACTAAAAATACAAAAAATTGGCCAGGCGCGGTGGCTCACACCTATAATCACAGCACTTTGGGAGGCCGAGGCTGGTGGATCATGAGGTCAAGAGATCGAGACCATCGTGGTCAACAAGGTGAAACCCCATCTCTACTAAAAATACAAAAAATTAGCTGGGCATGGTGGCGCGTGCCTGTAATCCCAGCTACTCGGGAGGCTGAGGCGGGAGAATTGCTTAAACCCAGAATGCCGAGGTTGGAGTGAGCCGAGATAGTGCCATTGCACTCCAGCCTGGGTAACAAGAGCGAAACTCCTAAAGAAGGAAAGAAAAAAGAAAAAAAGAAAGAGAAAGAGAAAGGCATGCGTATTATCAGAGTCTCCAAAAAGGTAAACAGTAGCACAGCTTTTCATGTTAAATCATTAAGAAACACACAAATACTATCATACATGTAGGAACTTACCTGGCAGAAGATCCAAAGGTGGCTTCTGGAATTTGGCAGGGGAACCTCAATTTCTCCCGAGTTCGCGTGCAGTGGTGGAGAGAGGGGTGTCAGAAACCTAACGGAACGTTTGAGGCAGAGGAGACAGCGTGGCGTGGTGTTTGAGGTGTGTGCACACTTCCTGTTTCCCTACCGGGCTCTTCTCAGTCGTGTGTAATTTCCTTCATTCATCTAGTGTTTCTTGGGGATGAAACTGAACATAAACATGAAATTTGTGTTATATTCACATTACCCAACATATCAGGTGAAGATAAAAAGCCCATGTTTCCAAATCAATTGTTCTAGCCAACTGACAGCCTGTGTGTATTCACCATCTACATAGATTTAATTTAAAGCAAACTGAGCGGCCGGGCGTGGTGGCTCATGCCTGTAATCCCAGCACTTTGGGAGGCCGAGGGGAGTGGAACACGAGGCCAGGAGTTCAAGACTAACCTGGCCGAGATGGTGAAACCCCCGTCTCTACTAAAAATACGAAAATTAGCTGGGTGTGGTGGCGTGTGCCTGTAATCCCAGCTACTCAGGAGGCTGAGGCAGAGAACTGCGTGAACCTGGGAGGCAATGAGCTGAGATCGCGCCACTGCACTCCGGCCTGGGTGACAGAGCAAGGCTCTGTCTCCAAAAAAAAAGGTAAATTGAGGACACTGTCACATTCTGCTCTTAAACACCTCCCAAATGCTCTTTTAGAGAAAAGTCTGTATTTTTCTCTAAAAGTCTACACCTCATATCCACACTTGACATTGTTAATCATTATTTTATACCTAGCCCATAATGATATTTCCTTCAATGATTCCCAAAACGTTCTTTATAGCTGGTCCTCCGGAAATCCAAACCCAAACCAGGTACTGCATCTTCTTTTATTTTATCATTTTTTTTTTTGTTTTTTTTTTTTTTTTTTTGAGAGGGAGTCTCACTCTGTTGCCCAGGTTGGAGTGTAGTGGCACGATCTCAGCTAACTGCAACCTCCGCCTCCCGAGTTCAAGCAGTCCTCTTGCCTCAGCCTCCCGAGTAGCTGGGATTACAAGTGCACGCCACCACATCCGACTAATTTTTTGCATTTTTAGTAGAGATGGGGGTTTGACCGTGTTGGTTAGGCTGGTCTCGAACTCCTGACCTCGTGATCCGCTTGCCTTGTCCTCCTGAAGTGCTGGAATTACAGGTGTGAGTCACCAGAGCCTTCCTATGTTATAGTATTATTTGGTCAAATTGAATTTTTTTGAGGTGTCGTTCTATGAATTTTCTTTTCTTTTTTTTTTTTTGAGACGAAGTTTCACTCTTGTCGCCCAGGCTGGAGTGCAATGGCGCGATCTCAGCTCACCGCAACCTCCGCCTCCTGGGTTCAGGCAATTCTCCTGCCTCAGCCTCCCGAGTAGCTGGGATTACAGGCGCGCACCACCATGCCCGGCTCATTTTTTGTATTGTTAGTAGAGACGGGGTTTCACCACGTTGACCGGGATGGTCTCAATCTCTTGACCTCGTGATCCACCCGCCTCGGCCTCCCAAAGTGCTGGGATTACAGGCGTGAGCCACCGTGCCCGGCCCAAAGTCCATCATTTTATCCGCTGTAACCCTGCTGTCTTAAGTGGTCTAAGACGTTTACAGGAGGGTGATAATAGTGATGATGAGCTTCTTTTTTTTTGTTTTTTGTTTTTTAAGACCGAGTTTCGCTCTTGTCACCCAGGCTGGAGTGCAATGGCTCAATCTCGGCTCACTGCAACGTCCGCCTCCTGGGTTCAGGCAATTCTCCTGCCCCAGCCTCCCGAGCAGCTGGGATTACAGGCGCGCGCCACCATGCCCAGCTAATTTTTGTATTTTTAGTAGAGACGGGGTTTCACCATGTTGACCAGGATGGTCTCGATCTCTTGACCTCGTGATCCACCCGCCTTGGCCTCCCAAAGTGCTGGGATTACAGGCTTGAGCCACCGCGCCCGGCCTGATGATGAGCTTCTAACAATAATCCACACACAGCGCTGATTATTTGACAAGCGCCTGTAATGTTATGTACTTTCATTTTATACATGTAGGAACTGAGGCATTGAGGGGCTTGGCGACTAATATCACCAGCGAGCTGATTAAGGCTTGGGGCCAGGACTGGGACCCCAGGATGGAGCCCAGCTGAGCAGAAAACCTCTGTGCACAGCATGCAGTGATCAAGATAATAAAAAGCAACTGGGACTGAGAAAGGATCTGCCTACACATGCATCAGGTTGGGAAGACAGACCCAGATGGTATCAGCTGGAAAATTAACAGAAAACAGTATTTCTCAAAAATAAATAAATAAAAAGCAGGAGTTGCAATTCTCACACTTAATAGATTTCAAAGCTACAAGGATGCAAGGGTAAAAGGATTAATGCAACAATAAGAGATCTTAACACCCAGATACATAAGACACATAATGAGATTTAGATTCAACGAGACAACAAATTGATAATGATATCTAGGACTTGAACTCGGAGCCAGAACAAATAAACACAATAGAGGTCTCCATTTTAAACACATAAAATATGCATTAACCACTTTAAACACTCAAAATATTGATCGGCCATTATTGAAACCCACTTTAGGAATGAAGTAATATTCCTTTTTCCCTCTTTTTCTTTTTTTCCCCTTCTTCTCTTTTTCCCTCAAAAAAAAAATGATTTTTCTATGGTAAAAAAAAAAAAAAAAAAGAAAGAAAACAGCATTTCTGCCAAGGACACCTCGTTCTGAACCATCGATGTCTTCTAGCTTGCTAAATACCCTGGCCATTACGATCATACACAGTGACTGACATTTTATCAGTAAGAACGAACTTCCCTCTTCTGCCCGGAGGGTCTGATTTCCTTGGACACAGAGAATCCGTCTCCATTTCCAACCCAGGTGCGGGCCTCTGATAAGGGGTTTCCGGACAAAAGAATCCACAGCTGTCTTATCTTGCGGTTCCCAAGGAAACCGGACTCGGCTGCACCTCGCAGCCCAGACCCGAGGGTCACCCCCTTTACGCGCTTGCTCTAAGCCAAATGGAAACCCCACCGTTCCCTCCAAATCCGATGGTGGGACGGGCACGGGCACCCAGGCCTAAGGGGTCAAAACGCCCCGCGTCCCCAACCAAGACCCCCGAAACCCAGCCGGGTTCCACTGGCCTCCAGAGCCTCCTCCGGGGGGCGTAGAGCCAGGAATCCCCCATCAAGGAACCCGCCCCTTGCCCTTTGAACTCTGCCCCCCGTCCTTTGGACCCAAACCTCCCCACGCCCCGGAACCGGAGTTCCCTCCCTTGGCCTCGGCCACAAAGAAGACTCGGGGCCAAATCTAGCACTGGACAGAGAAACCGCTCTCAGCGGAGGCCCTGAGGCCACTAAAGGCGACGGCCGCCGCGGGTCACAAACGGATGCTTCGGCTTCCGGCTCCGGGGCAGCCCGGAGCGGAAGAGTGAGCTAGTAGTAAGTTTGGGATTGGTGGAGTCTCAAAGGTGGGTGGGACGACCTTGCGTCCTCCAATCGCTAAGCAGGAAAAGCCGGTTTTTTTTTCTCCCTCTGAGATGCGATTGGAGTTGTTGGCAGACCCGCCTCCTCGAGGGCGTGTCTCAGGTCAGAATCGCCCTGTGGGCGTGGCTTTGGCTGGATCCGCCCTGAGGCGTGGCTAATACCAGACAAGCCTCGGGACGAGGTTGGGGGGCGTGATCTTTCGCTCAATCCTCCCACGCCCGGGTACCCAGATAATAAACGCTAAAATAAGTGATAATTGCTCATTTCCTCCAGCCAACACATTCCTCGTGCTAATATGCTCCTGTGCGAAGATATTCCCATTGCTGGGATTTTTCTTCCGGAAATAAGGTCATTTTTATGCGGTTCTGGAGACATGTCTTTTCTTAATGAGTGCGTTGTGATGTTCCCTTCTGGCCACCAGATGGCCACGTAATTCACATTTTCAGATGTGCGAATACTTTGTGTGGCTTTATACGTGGGTGTCCAATCTTTTGGCTTCAGCAGGCCACACGGAAATAACTGTCTTTCATCACACGTAAAATACAGGAACACTAGCGATACCTGATAAGCTAAAACAAAACAAAAAAAAATTGCAAAAGTATCTCCTAATGTTTTTTTCTTTTTTTTTTTTGAGACGGAGTTTGGCTCTTGTTACCCAGGCTGGAGTGCAATGGCGCGATCTCGGCTCACCGCAACCTCCGCCTCCTGGGTTCAGGCAATTCTCCTGCCTCAGCCTCCCGAGTAGCTGGGATTACAGGCACGCGCCACCGTGCCCAGCTAATTTTTTGTATTTTTAGTAGAGACGGGGTTTCACCATATTGACCAGGATGGTCTCGATCTCTTGACCTCGTGATCCACACGCCTCGGCCTCCCAAAGTGCTGGGATTACAGGCTTGAGCCACCGAGCCCAGCCCTCTCCTCATGTTTTAAGAAAGTTTAGCCGCTGGGCGCAGTGGCTCATGCTTGCAATCCAAGCACTTTGGGAGGCCGAGGCGGGCGGATCACGAGGTCAGGAGTTCGAGACCAGCCTGGCCAACATAGAGAAACCCTGCCTCTACTAAAAATACAAAAATTAGCCGGGTGTGGTGGTGAGCGCCTGTAATCTCAGCAACTCGGGAGACTGAGGCAGGAGAATCGCTTGAACTCCGGGAGATGGAGGTTGCAGTGAGTCGTGATTGCACCACGCCACAGTAGCCTGGGCGACAGAGTCAGATTCCATCTCAAAAAAAAAAAAGAAAGAAAGTTTAGGAATTTGTGTTGGGCTGCATGCATCAGGCCTGCGGCCCCTGAGTTGCAGAAACTGGCTTTAGAGCTCAGACCCAGGAGTCTTTGCCTTCCATTGTGACGCAGGATAAGTAAGGTTAGGAGGCCACGCTGACTTGTCCCCTTGTGTGAAACCCAGAAGTCTCTTCTAATTTTATACTTTTAGTAGAGACGGAATTTCTCCATGTTGGCCAGGCCGGTCTCGAACACCTGACCTCAGGTGATCTGCCCGTCTCGGCCTCCCAAAGGGCCGCGATTACAGGTGTGAGCCACCGCACCTGGCCAAACTTGTCCTCATTTTAATAGTTAAAAAAAAACCACACACACACACACACACACATACCCACACACCTGAGGCTGAGGCAGGAGAATTGTTTGAACCCAGGAGGCGGAGGTTGCAGTGAGCCTAGATCATGCCACTGCACTCCAGCCTGGGTGACAGAGCAAGACTCCACCTCAGAAACAAAACAAAACAAAACAAAAAAAGCCACCCCTAGGTGGAGATTTTATATGCTATTGATGCATGCGGCGTGTTAGAACACGCACATCCTGAGTCCAATCCACACCCACCTTTGCACACCTGACCTCACCAGTATTTCATTGCTATATACATACAGCCGCATAAAGGGAGTTTCTCTTAAGGCCCTCGCTGCTGTCTCTCCCTGTGCAGTGAAGCCAAGAACCAGCACCAGCCGGACAGCCAGGATCGTTACCCGACAGGCTGAAGAAAGGGAGCTGCTTGCGCACAAACAAAATCCATTCCTGAGACCACGGCATTGCCGTAAAGGAAGAGTTTTGGCCCGGCCCGGTGCCTCACGCCTGTAATCGCAACACTTTGGGAGGCCGAGGCAGGTGGATTATGAGGTCAGCAGTTCGAGACCAGCCTGGCCAACATGGTGAAACCCAGTCTCTACTAAAAATACAAATTTAGTTGACGTGGTGGCGCGTGCCTGTCATCCGGAGGCTGAGGCAGGAGAATCGCTAGAATCTGGGAGGCAGAGGTTGCAGTGAGCCGAGATGGAGCCACTGTACTGCAGCCTGGAAATCAGAGCAAGACTCCGTCTCAAAAAAAAAAAAAAACCAAAAACCAAAAAACAAAAAAAAAAACGGTGGCCGGGAGCAGTGGTTCATGGCTGTAATCCCACCACTTTGGGAG